AAGTAAAATGAAATAACACAAATTACTTAAAAAAATATACAGGCAAGTGAATCAAGAAAAAAATATATGAGCAAAAAAATAACGTTATTGCTAACTTATCTTAAAGTGGAAATATGCTTATTTTTATACTTCACATTCATTAGATCTAGAGAACCTGTCAGAATAAAAATCACAAGCTTAGTAATTATGTTACCCTAACACAATACCATATCACATTTAATAAAGCAACTCCACTCAGTTATAAGTTCCAAACACTGAGCTTATTTTGTTATTTTTTCTGGTAAACTTAACCCCCTTAGATTCGATGATCGCTTAAGGTGGGTTTAGATCTGCTAATCTGGGAATTCCAAGTTTCTGCAACATATGAATTTGAATCAAACTACTGATTAAGAATATTATATGTATTACCCTTATAACCTTTTTAAGTCTCATTCTTGTCACGGGATCTTATATAATAAGAAAATGGTCTAGATATAATTTATAATATTTGTTATAAATCAAAAAATCGACTATGAGAAATGATTCTGCAGGAGAGTGTCACAAAACCTTATATCTAATTTTGTGCGACTTGTTGAAGTACTGTTTAGAATAAGCGAAATATAAGATCTGTTATGCTAAATTTGTAATACAAATATTCATTGGCATACGTACCCGTTGTATTAAAATAAAGCATATATGTTTGCAGATATCAGTGTATTACTGTATTGCTTATCATTATTCAAATTAACTGATACTAGATTATATCATGCATAGTGAGGATTAAGTGATTCAGCAAATAATGATCCACCTACTAAGTTTTCAAACATGAACGGCATAGGTAGAGACTTTGATAAATGGGCCAGAAGCAAAGAATACAGGGGATACATCCATATTTCCAGTTTTAATGTTAAATGTGATGCTAAAGATTATCTTGTCTTGGCTAATCCTCGAGATCCTGACTATCGTAATCAAGAAAATCCAACTAAAAATCCAGAAAAAGTTACTGATGCTGAAGCAATCCTTATGGCTATACAAAAATCCCTCAAGCACCTTGGAGAACCCATTGGCTTTATCAAACTTCTCCTGTTGGATATGAACAGGCTAATATTTATACGAAGGACCCAATATTCAATGGGTTTCAATCCAAACCAATCAATAGTAATACTTGCCTGAATATTCATAATTTTAGAACTAGTCGATTATCTCCTTGTACATGACATGCTCAACAGGAAATGACAAAAACAGATGCACTATTTATTTTCACTAACGTTAATATGAAAGTTTGTTATAACCATCAAGTTTCTATTACTATTGATCGTAGTATTTTCTTCTAGATCCGTCTTTATATTGATGGAAAAATAGTTGGTGAACGAGAACAGACTGATATTAGCAAGTTTATTCAGTCTGGGGGCAGTCAGCTAGATGCTTCTAAATTATCTAAGGCTGGTCACAGAAAAATTGCTCATTCTGATAAATTATTAACATATAATAAAAAAGTTGAAAAGGTGATTCCAGCATAATACAATAAGGGAAGTATTTATTTTCGGTTTTATTCATTTGATATATATTGAGAATAGCTCTATATTTTTATATTTCACTTTACAATATATGTATATTCTATTTTTATTTCTAAAAATAATAAATAGAATTGTATCACTATAGCTTTAGAAAAGTAACAAATATAAAATTTATTATACAAGAAGCAGATTACATAATTTCAGTATCATTTTTTTATATATTGGATCTGAATATCGTGAAATGATATTCATTTTCGAGCTAGAATTCATTTACAAAAAAGGATAAACCAAAAAAAAATCATGAATCTATGTGATATCAGGTTTTTCGAAAACAGCATAATTCTTATACTTGTGTAGATCTGGTTAAGATATAAATTTTGTTATACTAAATTTGGCTATTCTCTCAACAGGTTATGTATTAACAATGCAACAATATAATCCCAAATATAGAAAATATGTAATTGTTAGTTGATCTATCGTGTTCAATAATTGTAGTGCTGAATTTAGTAAACATGCAATTGTTTGTTAGAAAATTACCATGTCTATTATATAATATCAAATAAAGCAACGTGCTAACCATTGTTTTGATGAATTACTATTTTTTAGAAAGTGCACTCTGTAATCACAAAGTGTTAAATCGTCAAGTTATATTTTCAACATACAATACTGTGATAAAATTAACACATGTTGGAGTAACTATACCTTTAGTTATAATTGTATTTTCTAATAAAAGAGATGCCTCCCAATATAGATGCTTATAATTTATTTGATATTTTTTTTATTCTTCATTATACATCATTATATTCGCTATATATTTCTACCTGTTAATAACTTAAAATTCAAAAACAATGCAAGCATTTATCGAGAAGCTAAAAATGAAAATGAAATTCCTAATCTTATTAACATATTCTAAGAGAAACCAGTCAAAAAGTTGTTACATCATGCTCACTATAATAAAAAACAAAAGATTGAGAAAGAACAAAATTTGACCTTATTGATAGATTATAATGTGTTAAGACTGATTTTACTGTTGATAACTAGCGATATTATTTTTAATCCAAATCAGGTATATATCATTTTTGCTTTAGATTCTAGTTTTACTCTCTCATACCTGAGTTATTTTTGTATTGATCGATCAATCATCCAAGTTACTTGCTATGAGTATACTTAAGCTATGCAAAAAATTGTTGCTCTGCAATTAGGGCCTCTGGCTTCTGTATGTTATATGTTCGAAAGGGCATAATCATCATTTTGATAGCTCAGTACTTTGGCTTGGGTGGTTTGTTCAGTCTGCAAAAAATATACAACCTAGTGCAGATTTATATAATTATTTATATCGATAATTGCATTAGATATCTAATTTTATTTTCCATTATGTTAGCACTGGACCTAATATGTGACTCGGGGATTGTATATATGTGATAAAATTCATTATATTGAAAATGAATGGAAGAGTGTTCCCTTTGTCCGTTAGATCATATATCATTGAGGGGTATCAAAATTTGTGAAGAAATTTCATCCAAAGATCTTTTAGTCGACATGCTAATTCAAGAGGCAAGGTCTGCTAATAATATTGAGTTGTCTGATGTCCTGTCTAATTTTCTTCTGTTAGTAGATAAAGAAATAATTAAAATGAGAAGCATGATGATGCTAATTCCTATCCTGATAATGCAAAAAATAAACATTTATGGGTCGCTCTTGGTCACTGGTTGAGGATAGAAGAACTGGTTATAAGAAAAGATATACGTCGTTATCTTTGATCTAAATAGATAGATCTTAAATATGCTGTTGATTTTCAAAACAATGAATCACAGGATATTTTAAGAACCACCTCATATATTTCTCGAAAAGAGAAAGCTCATTTAATAATATCTGCT